CTAAATATGTTTGCAAAGATTTGGTATCTGCTAATTTAAAAATATAAGGAGCAATGTTTTCACCTTGTTCTTTCTTCAGAATACTTCTAATGGTGCTATAATTCCTGGGTTCTATAGTAGATCTGATTTTTATATTAACTATTTTTATATGGGAGTAGTTCTATACATCACTTAAGATAACAAATGGGATAAAACTGTTAATAATTATGGAATACTAAATTTTGATCCCTGAAATCCTTTGTAATACCAATGTTCACTTTTTTTGGTTTTGTTGCAGTATGCCCCAATTTTAATTATTATCTTATAAATTAATTTAATGTTCACGAAATATTGAAGAAAATATTATAAATTCCTCAAATTAATCAAAACACACATATTTCAATAAAAATACAATGGCAATTCAACAAATATAATTAATTTATTTTGATATATATATCAGTAGTTAGTATTAAAATATTAAGCAAAATACACTAATACCAATAAGAAAAAATCTTGAAATAAAAACAAACAATAATGCAAAATTTAAATTGTTTAATATAACTTTATTTGGTAACTATTCTGTTTTTCTTTATTATTATAGGTTTAATTAAAACAAATTGTTTCTTTTCTGTTAATTTTTTACCAATTACGGCAACTTAGAATATCATGCATACAGTTCATCACAAAGAAAAAACTGTAATTCTTAAATTTATATCAGTTATGGCAACCTAGAATATGACAAAAAGATGCTTTTACAAGTTTTTTCAGCAGCTACAAAGAAATATTAGAAATCAAGCCTAGTATATTTTAGTAATAAAAAGTCAATCTTTTGGTTTTTCTTGTAATTTTCGGGTTTTTTTTTAATGTGTGCTTTTTAAATTTAATATTTAAAACTTGCGAATTTTTTATCTAATACACTAACATTTTAATTTTAATAAAAAATTATTTTAATAATAATAATAATAATATGTTCTTACTACACCACCACCTACATCTACACATGCAGCTGGTCATACCAGCCTGCTCAAGTATCAATTAAACAAATATCTAGAACAAATACAATCTTTACAGCAACAACAACAACAAATACAACAATTACAACAACAACAAATACAACACCTACAACAACAACAACAAGTACAACACCTACAACAACAACAAATACAGCACCTACAACAACGATCCTATCAACAATAACAACTGCCTGATGGACAACCTCAAAAAATGCATCTAAAAGGTGGAAGGCAAAAAGGAATTAAGATGATTTTGAAAGAACGTAACCTTTGACCATCAGCTGACAAGCTTATTCGTCTATGCGAGGATTGTAAAAAGCATACTTCAATAAGAGAAGATTGCTGTGCTGTTCGGATTCTTTTTTACAACAAGATTTTGCCACTCAGCGTTCTTTAATCCAAGAAATTATTGGAGAGCATGGACATAAAGTTATCTTTTTTCCCAAGTTTCATTGCGAACTTAACTTCATTGAGTGTTTTTGGGGAGCTGTAAAAAAATACACACGGGATGATTGTGATTACACCTTTAAAGGATTGGAAAAAACAGTTCCAGAAGCACTCAACTCTGTATCATTAGAACAAATATGTAAATATGCTTGGAGGTTTATTGATGCCTACTGTAAAATATTGACTGGTGCCCGTGCTTTATATGTTGTAAAAAAATAAAAATCTCACAGGTACATTCTTGAAAATGTTGCAATGAAAGGGTAGTAATAATGTATATATTATATATATATAAATAAATTTTTTTTATTCACAAATTACGTGACCATTTTTGACATTTTTGAACGAATCACGAAATTGAAATTTGAGCGCGTGGCGCAACAATAAGAGGTCATTTAGACTGAGCCAACTATATTCTAAAGTAATGAATAGAAACAATAGCCAATATGTTATAATAATAATTAAAAGATCTAAATGAAAATGAATAGGTTACAAAAAAAAGTAGCTATTATCATTGCTATTTATTATGTATACATTATATACGCGTTATTTAAGTACTTATTTGTAAAAAATTAAGAAAGATAAGAATTTACCAATTGGTTCTTTACTGCACCAAATTACCAAACCTGTTGTCATTGCCAAATTGATGGTGATGTGAAAAGTTGCAATGTCGAAATATGGAAGAAAGGCGGGAATTCAACTATAACAGTTCATAATATAAATTGGCGTTTTGTTCCTTGTGAATTCTTGTTTATAAACATAGTTAATAAAAATCTGCATATAGTTTTTTAACCATACAAAACTGATTCATATTATAATATGTAAAATAAAATTTTAAATATCGCATATTATAATCGAATAATATAAGCATATAAATTAATTGATCTTGATTGTACCAATTATTATATCAAAATGCAAGTATTTAATTCATTCATGTAACATCAATCTGATTCCAAATTGATGTTGAAAAAAAGAACCACCACAAATTGGATTCCATAAATCTAATTAATAGCGATCGGTTACTAATAGCCATTTTGGTGCCTGTTAATCAAACCTAAGGCTATTAAAAGAATCAATTAATACCAATCAGCATGATGTTAAAGTTTTATGTGGCTCGACGACGAAAATATGCCCTGTCGTATGACGAAAATCGTCCGCCATCATGGGGCGAATACAGTTTAGGAACCTCTATCGCAGAAGAGGTTCCCCGTCTTCCAGATTTGGTTGTCTTAAATGATTCTTTTCCTCCAGAAATACACGACGAAGACATAAACTACGGTAGGCTGGTTGCAAATTTTGTCAAAATCGAAAAATGCCAAACCCCGATCTTATTCGGAAACCATGATCTGGTAGTTTTGATGCCTCCAGACCTTTTTCCCAACAGGAAGAGGCATGGTGAATACATTAAAAATCACCTGGAACTACAACCTTCAATAGATAGCTAGATTCTGCTTACATTGGTACTAGCCACATTGAACGTACTTGGAGCTTGAGAAAAGAAGAAATTTTCAAAATCGGAATCGCATACTGGCCACCAGAAACATGAACCGTGAGAAACATCCAATCTGAACCGACTTGATCGTTAGAGGTACTTACAGCAGCCACGAAATCCTGGCTCCAGCCTTGCCTTCGAATTTGAGAACTGCAACCCCTTTTTCAAGCATCATAATAGACGCTTATGACCTTCTACACCTTTAACAATGGCTGAAGACAAATGCACGAAATTTTGAGCTTCACCGATAATGGCGACACCATTCCGAGCAATTGCCTGTTGCACATCACCTGCACTACCGAAACAGATCTGGAACAAGTTGTGGAAGGACCCTGAGACGGTGAATTGGAGCATTTCTTCGAAATTTGCCTACATGAAAAAAAATAGGCAAGCTGGTCTCACTTAACGTGATCCGTGCAGACGTTCCTAACCCAGTCACAGTTGTAACTATGGAGACCATGCTCCCTCAGCTGCTATCTGACAAAACCTATTGCTCGCCCAACCTGTTAAGATTCATCTATCGTCATGTAAATCAAGAAGACAGGATGGTCATCCTATATCATCCCAAGACGCTTCTGAAGTGGGATTGCCAAACCACCATATCAGGATCCTATATGGGACTGTCTCCAGCAAAAATCACACCCGAGGTCTTTTGACCAAATTTGTGTTTTTTGCTGGAGGCAATCCCATATATCAATATTATAAAAACGTTAATAATTATTTCTTTATATAAACTTACAATTGAACACTTGCAACCCATCTACTCCACATTCTTATGTTCTCCTGTAAAAACTTTTATTTTGCTGTTTAAATTTTTCATGCAGCTTTCTTCAACTCTATATAAATTTTGGGAACCTGTTCTAATTGAAATCTTGTAAATCACTTGACTAAAGCAATAGTATTCCGCCGCTATCAAGTATTAAAAATTTTTTAATCACACTAATTGAATTCGAACTGTCACAATCGATTTTTGTTCGCTTCTCGTCGTCAATAAAATTTATACGAAATAAAAAACAGAAGTTAAACGCTTTGATTGATCATTGTTAGAAGATAATGATTTAGAGTCATTCTAGTTTAAAAGCACCCGAGGAGCGTAATGAACGTAAAATAAAAAAAACCATTTTATACATGGAAAAATAAATGAATACGCTAATGAAAATAATAGATAAAATCCTCAACAAGAGATAAAGTGCAGGGCTCATTCCATCTACACTCACTTTATCCCACATAAAATGGCTTTTGCCGAAATTGACAAACAACCTCCAAAGGAATATTAAAAGTACCAGATCATCCATGAGGCAGAGAAGCCGCATCAGCAGGAAGTCATTTTGAAATTTTTGTTACAAAAATGGCCTCGTGTTTGATCCAATAAACAAGTTGCTAAAACTGATCCTATTACAATGTCAAACCTACGAGACCCGCCATTATTATACAGAAAAAAATAGCCCTTCATACCACTTATCCTGCCTGATAATTTTCTAGAATCACATGTGATTCCAAACATTGATTAAGAAGCATTGATCTTCCTGAAAGAAATCTTATTACAGTTAAATCTGCAATTCTTATAGGCATAAAAACACCAATTTTAGATGCATGTTACAAAATTGCAGATATTAAATACGCCCCAAATTCACAATTTATCAATTGATAAAATTATTAATAAATAAAATTATTTTTTTCAATTTATTCTGTATTTTGAAAAAATAAATTTTAGAAAAAGCCTTTCTTTTGGCCATAATCTGAACAATAATATACTTTGCTTAATTAATAAATACAATTATAATAAATAAATACATATTAACATAAAATATAAACAGTATCATTATATATATTGTTTCGTGTTTTTTTTTACAAAAAAAAAAATCTTTACATTTCACATTCACAGCTGCACCCGCTGACAGGACAAATTCTATGTTTTTGAAACCATTGTAACATGTGTAAAGTATGTCCACCATGACGACACGATTGACACCACGTAAACCAGAGACCAAAACCAATTGGTTCTAATATTATATTTTTAAATAGATTAAATCAATAAGTATATATTTTAGTTAATTAGGAAATAAACATATTTACTTACTATCGCTGGAAAAATTATTTTGTTGCTTGGTTTCTATAGCATCTCTTAATCTATCTGTAGGAGTTCCTAAACTTAATAAGCATATAGAACATCTGGGAAGTGGTCTACGACATCCAGGGCAACTTGTTGACTAATAAAATATTTATTTATATTAAATTAATGGAAATATATATAAATATAAATAACATACTATTACCTTTCTTTCGCTACCACCAATACCTGAATGAGGGGAGTTAGATAATGTGAGACGTCTCATACCAGGTATCCATAAAGCATGAGCAATACTTTGACCACAAGCATTACATCGAACATATACTTGTGGGGGCACAATATCAGCAGCCGATGAAGTAGCTGAAGTCATGTGTTTACCACGTGCAATATCAAACCTTGCTCTTTCATGAAACATTTGCCATTTATCGAGCAATAGTCGATAACTGAAATAATAATTATAAAAAATAACCAATAAAAAATACAAAAGTTAAATAAATAATGTAATCTAAAAAGAAAGAAAGAAAAACTTACTTTTCTACCCAAATATTGACTCTAGGATCCTTGAATTTGCGAGGCACACAAAAACTTAAAGCTAGACTTGCTGTCTGTATATCACCTGTTTTATCTACATAGTTTCCAAATAATGTAACTCCTTCAGGAATCAAACCTGTCAACAAGACTCCTTCAATGTCGCCATTTGATACTGCCTTAGTAGTAAGTTCATTTAAATAGTTGCTAAACTAATAATAAAATTATTATTATTATTATTATTGTCTGAGAAACAATACAAGTAAAATAATTATTAATATATATATAGCCATACATCATCGTCGTCTAAAAATCTAAGTGCAATTCCAATCTTATCTTGTAAGCTAAGTCCCTCCTCATTTAATACTTCAAACCAATTCTCTGTTGCAATATATGAAAACATTGCACGCAAGTATGGTTCTTTTAATTCATTGCTAAGATTCTTACACATCTCACGCCAAAGTGGGCTTACACGATGTGAATTCTTATCATTAAAATTAAGTGTATATCCTGCAAGTGCGGTAGAAACCAATTTCAATCGTTCATCTATAATAATAAATAAAAAAAATCAGAATCTTTTTTATATTTAAAAATAAGTCGTGATATATATAACTAAAATGTAAAATAAATCTAATACCGCCGCTATTATTTAATGACTTAATTGCTCGCTCAGTGTTTCCATGAAACAATGCCCAAGCAGCAGCCTTTTCAAACTTGTGTAAATGTTCCATCCTATCAAGTTTTTTTTTTCAAAAATGGATAAATATCAAATAATAATAACAATAATAATAATAATAATATACTAAAAAAATTTATATTATTATTTACTTTCTAAGAGTATCTTCCAATTCTTTCACTCCAAAACCCCATCCACATATTGTTAAACATAATTTTCTTTGCAATGGCTTTATAGTAGACACAATCGGAATTTCATCATAATCAATATTTACTGGATCTGGTCTTTCTGTTGTTGGTTTTGGTGGAGATGCTCTAGGAGTGGACATCGGGGAAGTCCTTCTACCACCACTGTTAATAGATGCTATCATGCATATAATTAAATTGTGACAAATATATATGCTTGTATATTTAAAAAGAAATCACTTAAAAAAAAATTTTTTTACCTGTCCATACCGAGTGAATGCCATGAAAACTAAAATCAATATTTCCAATTGATACTCTGCCTTCCTTTGAAATTTTTTCAATGCCTATTAAAATATTTGTATGTAACATTAAAGGAAATATAAACATAATTTTGAAAATATTTATTGAAGGAAATCATCATAAATGATCTACAAGGATACGTGCTATCCAACTCCATAAAGATTTTAATTTTGGTGAATCTTTGACAAGGCTTTCATTTATTTGACACTAATTAATTAATTAATTAATTAATTAATTAGTTGATGATTTTATTATCTTGTAATGAGAAACAAAGAACAAAATTTATTATTTTTTTTTTTAAAAAAAAATTTAATTAGAACAAATACCTACTGTCATAGAATACCCATCTTTGGCTCTCCCACGCATAATAACCGAAATATCATTATCTAATAAGTTAAGAATTGATGGGATATCATTGACACCTTCATTATCCGAATGATCAAAAAAAATTTCGTTATTCCGATTATTTGGATGTAATATAATTCCTTTTAATTGTCCAGCGCCACCATTAATTTCACCAGGTCTAGGTGTTCTACTTCCAAGATCATTTTCATCGTCATCGAATTTAAGATCCAGAGAAACACGCGTTTTATGACCATAAATAGTGTTATTATTTGAATTTAAATCTTTATTTGAAGCCAATTTTTTGAGATGATGTTGATGTTGATTATCGCCACCACCATTATCGTGAATATCATCTTTACTATCATCGTTATTATAATTATATTCGTGGCTTCTTTGATCAACATTATATATTTTAAAACCTTTGGTACCAAATACCGCTAAATTACCACGTGGCTCCCAATCGAACACTGGACTTTCTTCTAGTTTAATTATATCGAAATAATTATCCTTGTTTATAGATAAGAAACGATGAGATGATAAAGTAGAAAGTGTTGGAATCCATGAAAAAGAGGAAATTGGTTTTGCCAAACGTTGTGCTTAATTAGGAGAATACAATTAGTAATTTAATTTTATATTCCATTTAATTTATTTTTTTAAGGTAAATTAATTAATAATTAATAATTAATAAAAATTTCATAACATACTTTTTCTAGATTTCAATAAAATCAATGGCTCAAGTTCATCATCTATTTAGAAGTCAAAATAAATTGTAACAATAATGAATTATTTTCTTAAAAAAATTTTATAAAATCTTTACTCACCGCTACCACCAAATGTAGATTTTGCATCACTCAAATTGTCACCACCATCGTGATTTCGATTAGATGGTGTGTTTTGTAAGGAAGAAAGTTGTTGTTTTGAAGTACTTTCCTGAATATAGTATAAAGATAAGCAAAGTGAATCCTTTTCTACAGATGCAAGTAAACCTGAACGTATAGGGGAAAAAATAATACGATTTGGACGAGATTCCGTATAAATACTCAAAATGTATATATAAAAAATAATAAACATATTAATGAGTTAAAAATGAAATAATAAATATGTATATAAATGTAATATATGAACTTGAAAAATTTAATAAGAAAGGATATAGGATCAGAAGCCTTTCTATCATCCCATATGTAAATATAATTATCTTCGAAACTAGCGAATCTGTGATAATTAAAAGGATCAGATTTTATTCCATAAACAGCTTTTGTTGTCAGTGTAGCCACGGCGGATTCAGCTATATAACATAATTATAGTTGTAGGCTTAATATATAAAGTGAAAATTATAAACATTTGATGATATAAAGAAAATACTATTACATCTTAAATCATAAATTCTTAGTAATTTAAATCCCATTCCAGCTACCAATTTTTTTGGAGGATCTATAAACCAGCAACAAGAATTGACTGATTCAGAACTTCCATATAAATTAATAGGTCTGACCTCTTCAACGTTACGAGTTTGACTTGATAAATAAAAGATAGAATTAATATATAACAACAAATGGATTTTCGATAATAATAATAATAAATACAAAATGCTTAAATAAAAATTTGAATTTGTATGATTATACCTTGACGATGCAGATGAAGATCTTAAAGTTGAAGTTGTTTCATAAATAGAATAACCAGACTTTGTTTTTTCTAAGAAAAACGATATAAACAAATAAAATGAAAACGATACATACATACATTTATAAAGAGATCTGATGGTTGAAATTCATATCTAGAATAAAATACCTAAAGCATAGGTAAAATTATCATCCATGCTATTTGATAATCCCCCAACACCATATCCAGAATCATTGTATCCACTCCAATTACTGATACTTCCTGCTCGACTAGGTGTTTCAGGAATGAATTTTGTTGTCGTTACATCGTTTAATTTATTATGATTATCCATTGATGATGGTATATTAGTAGTATATCTTGCTTGTTCTATATCCCAAATTAACAAAGAATGTTCATTTCTCATTTTGTCAAGGCCAGTAGCCAATAATTTTGGTTCTGATGGTGAAAATGCAACAACGTTACATGCTCTTGAACTGCGAACATTAAGAGTTGCATAAGTTTGTTGTTGAAAATTAGAAGACGATTTATGATGATGATGATGAATTGACGACGATAATATCGGTGAAGCAGCAAGATTATTACTAGTTGAATTAGAATCGAACTCATTTCCATCATAAATATTCATAAGTATAGTTTTTCCACTTGTTAAACCAGCAGCGATTAAACTTTGATAATTTGGATCAGGAGACCATGCAAAACACTGAGCACACACAAAAATTAGGAAATTAGAACGCAATTTTTATTTGTTCAGAATTCAAACCAAGTATTAAGAAGATTAGTTACCTTCAATAAAGGGATATCATGACTCACAGATAATACCCTAATATCAGTTTTACCATTTCGATTCTAAAGAAAAAATGATTTTTTAACATTTATAAAGTAAATGAAATATTGAATATTACTTTTTAAAAAGGCACAAACATTCGACACGTATTCATATAACCTCAAGTCGATGTTTGAGCCTATTAAAAATTGGTTAGATTTAGAATTTGGAGACCAAATAATTTCTTGTGTACGTGAAGTGGACATTGATAACGTTTATTAATTGATTGGAAGTATATTTCAATCACGTACAGGGTGCAAAATGTGTGATCAAAATATCAGGGGAATACCTAATTTAGGAAATTATTATCGAAATCTTCAAAAAAATATTGAATTTTTAAATAAAATTCAAGTAATGTCATTATTTGGTATTGGTTTTAGCTCTTTACCTCAAAAAAAGTAACAAATAATTAATTGCTTTCTTTCAATTAAAAAAAAAAGATTTTTGGATCTAGTAAAAAAAAGAATAATGATGATCCAAGTATTTACTGAATAAAGAAAGGAAAAATATTTATCGTTGGGTAATTAGTTGATTTGAATGTTAAAGGTTCGACACCCAAATAATTGAATTTCAAAATCTTATAACATAAATAGACTATATGATTTCATCAATGGCGCCACGTGAATACAAAGAATACATGATTATTTATCCAACATAGTGGAAATTCTATTTTGATCAACATTTGCAATTGTCACATTTACATTTTAGTAGAAGATCCTCGTGTTACATACATAATAAAATTCGTTTGAAATTAAAGAGTTTATGTATTTTTCTTTTTTGCATGATGTACAAACATATGTATTCGAATTTATTTATTTAAATTTTGTGATCTTACA